CCAGTCCTGGAGCTGCTGTGGGGTGAGAGGCACACGTGGACGAAGGCGGCTACTCCAAGGAGACCGCGCAACAGCAGACTCAGAACCCTCAGCGCCAGCACCCCCAGCTGCTCCAGAACCTCCAGCGCCAGCACCCCCAGGCTCCTCACGCGTAGGCTCAGTACTCGCAGACTCGGCACCCGCAAGCTCAGCACCTCCAGGCTCCTCACGCGCAGGCACAGCACCCTCAGACTCGACACCCCCAAGCTCAGCACCGCCAGGCTCCTCACGCACAGGCACGGCATCCCCAGACTCCGCACCCCCAGGCTCAGCACCCCCAGAGACAGCACCCCGAGCAGGACCACCTCCAGCAGGACCTGAGTCACCAGTGACCTCAACAGGCGCAGGTACCGGAGGGTCTACCTGAGAAACACCTGAAGGAGCAGGACCTGGCGCGGGGAGGGGGTCTACCTGGGGAGGACCTGGAGCGAGAAAGAGCGGCGGGGGGGGGCGAGAGACAGTGCGGTAGGGAAAGAGACGGTAGAAGGGAACAGACTCGTCAAAGGTGACGTCCTGAGACGCAAAGACACGGCGCGAGGTGGGGTCGTAAAACTGCCAGCCAGGCGCGTCAGGAGGAAAACCAAGGAAGACGCAGGGAATGGCACGAGCAGAGAGCTTGTCCGCGGTGAGATCGCGGACAAAGGCACGAGCACCCCAGACCCGGAAACGCGACGCATCGCCAACCTCCCCCGTCCACAGCAGTGTGGGCGAGGTCTCCGGCAAGGAGACACGGGGCCAGAGGTTGAGCTGATGCGCGGCGTACCGGACCGCGAACGGCCACAGAAAATGGGGAGCCGCCGCATGGATCATGGAGGTACGAGCGACCTCCATGACTAAGCCAATGCGGCGCTCAGCAACCCCATTCTGCTGCGGAGAGGCCGGAAGCGTGAACGACTGGGTGATGCCGTGCTCCGCACAGAAGGCTGCCAAGAGGTCAGAGGAGAACTCACCACCTCTGTCAGAGTGCAGACGCAGGACAGGAAAGTCCCGCTCGAACCGCTCGCGGAGCTGGAGACGCACAGCGCGGATCCAGGGGATCAAAACAGCAGGGACGTCTCCCTTGCTGCGCAAGGGGAAGACCGTGGTGTAACGCGTGAAGTCGTCGACAACCAGCAGAAAGTACCGCTCACGGCCCTGTCCCTGGACGCGGGCTGGGCCCCACACGTCCAGGTGAAGCGTCTGCAGGGGAGCCTCTGTGGGAGGAAACGAGGAGGAGTGAGGAGCGGCGCGCTGCCGCCCCTCGACGCAGGGAATGCAGGGCGGCGCAGGCGAGGGAGGGAGGGCAGGCAGAGACCTGGGAAGCCCAGAGACCAGAGAGCGAGAGTGCATGCTACGAAGGCGAGGCAGGGAGGGGTGACCAAGGCGGTGGTGCCACAGGAGCGTGTCGTGCGACAGGCGGCGGCACTCACACTGGGTAGCTACCTGAGCAGACGCGTACAGCTGTGGAGACAAAGGAGCGGAGCGTGAAACAGTGGTGAGGGTGTACAGACTGGACCCCGGCTCACGAGTGAACGTGGCCAGGTGGCGGCCAGTCTTGGAGCACGTACAGATCGCCACACGCTGCCCTCCAGGAGTCCAGGTGTCAACCCAGTGATCCTGGAGGACGGCGTTGCTCACCAGGTTCGTAGAGAACGAGGGAACGAGGAGACCTGACAGCTCACCAGACGGGACCGCCGGGCACGGGAGCACAGTCGTGCCGCGTGCAAGCACTGGGCCCCCAGAGGGGTCAGCCAGGGAGACAGGGACAGGTGCAGGGAGCGGAGTGACGGTGGTGCTATCACGAAAGAAACAGCGGGAAGCACCAGAGTCAAGTGTAAACGTGTGCAAGGCCTGAGCCGACTCAGTACCAAGGGGAGCAGACTCACTAGCACCTAGGGCTGCAGTCCTTATACCGGGGTCAGGCGGCACACACAAGTAGCAGTCACCCTCAGCACTAATAGTCAATGCATACATGGCAGCAAGAATAACATCATAGTCCAGATCAAAGATAGGCACATCACGCCTAAGCAGCTCTGCCCAGTTGGGGAACTCAGTAGCATCAGGATACTTAGTACGCCAGGCGTCACTAAGCCTAGCAAAACAACGATACTCAGTGTGAAAACCGTTGCAGGGGCGACCCTTGCGGGGGCCAGTACGAATGACATAGGGGCAGCGGTCAGAACCCCGAGACGCCCCACGCCCAGCATACCAGTCATTGAGCTGCTGGGAGGTGAGGGGAGGAAGCTGCTGCTGCTGCTGTGGCTGTTGCTGCTGCTGCTGCTGCTGGCCACCCTTCTGGCCAGATCCACCCCCACTCCCACCTCCACCGCCACTGCCGCTGCCTCCTCCCCCACCACCGCCGCCGCCGCCTCCACCGCTCCCGGTCCTGCCGCCACCCCACCCACCGCCTCCACCCCCACGGCCACCCCCACCACCTCCACCACCCCCGCCGCCTCCACCACCGCTCCCTCCACCGCCACCTCCGCCACCCCTGCCACCCTTGCCGCCCCTGCCACCACCACGCTTCCCACCAGGAGCGGAAGCCGCTGCGACCTTCTCCGCACCGAGGAAGTCAACAGCAGTAGCAGCAGAGGCGTAGGAGGGGTCAAGAGGGGAGGGGGAGCACCCCTCAAAGAGGGGAGTGCGGGGAGTGCCACGAGCAGCACCGACAGCGAGGATGTTCTTCTCTGCTGCGACCAGCTGCTGCTCGAAGTCGTCCAGAGTGATAGTTGGAGGATCCTTGGCAAGGAAGTAATCCCTGACAGAGCGAAGAGTGTCAGGGAGGCGGGTGACGAGGATGTAGAGGGTGAAGTACAGCGGGGGGGTGTTCGTGGCGAGGAACTCTTTGGTAAGAGCGGCTCGAAAGCGGGCGTCACTAGTGCGGAGGTGAGTGATAAGGTCGGCAGCAGTGTGAAACGAGGCTAAGTCTGGGAACAGGTAAGGCAGGATGAGACTACCAACGGTGGCTGTGGTCGGGGCGGAATAGCGGGCAACGACAGCATCATACAGCGTCTTAGCAGTCTTAAGCTGGTTGAAATGCGCGCGCTCAGAGATCGGTAGGTGATTGCGAATAACAAGGCGCGCGACAGCATCGCGGAGCTCCCACTGTGCTCGTTCAGGGGCAGGAGCAGTCTCAGCAGGAGTAGGGACAGTGCCGGTCACATAGGCTAGCAGGGACACTCCGTCTGCGACGTCAGTCATAAGGTAAAGGCGCAGGTCACTAAGCCAGGTGTCAAACTCGATGGGGCGGCCGTCAGGCTCAAAGGCGAGAACAGTAAGGGTCGCCATGGTTGTAGCGCAGGCAAAAGTAGCAGGCTCAGGCAGCAGGCTCAGGCAGCAGGCTCAGGTAGCAGGCTCAGGCAGCAGGCTCAGGCAGCAGGCTCAGGCAGCAGGCTCAGGCAGCAGGCTCAGGCAGCAGGCAAAGACTGCAGGTTCAGGCAGCAGGCTCAGGCAGCAGGCAACTGTAGCAGGTAAGGAAGCACGCAGTTTTGTGACAGGCCGCGCGTAAGGCAGGTAAGCGCACGACTCACGGGCGGCTAAGCGCTCAGGTCGAGGCAGTGGCGCACAGGCAGGGCAGGGCACGCGCTGCTGCGGGCTGCGCGCGGCAGCGGGCTGCGCGCGGCTGCGGGCTGTGCGTGGCAGCTGGCTGTGCGCGGCGACGGGCTGCGTGCGGCTGCGGGCTGCGCGCGGCGACGGGCTGCGTGCGGCTGCGGGCTGCGCGCGGCGACGGGCTGCGCGTGGCTGCGGGCTGCGCGTGGCTACTGGCTGCACGCGGCGGCGGGTCGCGCGTGGCGGCGGGCTGCGCGCGGTGACGAGCTGCGCGCGACAGCAGCGAGCACGCGGGCGGCTAAGGCAGCGGGGCGCGCTAAAAAAAAAAATGCACGCGCGCATGCAGCCGAGGCGCGCGCGGGCAGCAGGCAAGGTAGGCACGTAGGTATAGCTGTAGGGAAAGTAACTCATGAGTAGGTGGGCCCCAATCTTAGGTCCTTAGGACCATTGCTCTAGATGCCATGTTGAGATAGCTAGGCAAGGTGAGTTGACTATCGAGAGAAATTTTACAAGTAGGAAAACCCTAAGGGGTTATCCCCTATAACATCTACCCCACTACAGCCTACCAATATGTATCACATATATATATCATTTGACATGAACAACTGACCTCGACAGGATGGGTTGAAAGGTCTTCCACTCCTGCCTCCCCGCGTCGTCTTGGTGCTTTTAGGGCTGCGCAAATGTCTTGTTGCTGCTGGACGGTGCGCCATTTTAAGTGTGTTTGGTATTCAGCCAAGTCATCTTTGTGGACAGTGCAGAGTGAGCAGGGGTAAGTTGTACCCAGCGACTTTGTACAAGTTACTTTACATGTCTCTGGGTAGTCCGCGATGTAAGCATACAGCGCTGGGTATGCAGTGAATGAATGGCCCGATGCGTCTTCCACCCGAGCGCCCCTGTTTGGAACACGTGCAAGAGGAAAGCAAAAAGGTTAGTAAATATTGTAGAAAAATCCATGCACTCAGAAATGTTGCTGGGCTAACAACACCAATGAACTTGAACTTACACATGACTGGCGGCCTTGAGAGGTTGTAACGCCTTGCCAAGAACCTTATGGAATACTTGTAGACGGTCAAGCGGGGTGTACTCTGGAGGAAATTCCGGAAGCAATGCAATCATCGCATGACCGTGTGGTTTCCAACGGTCCTCGCGTGCGATGTTGGCCAGCGACATGTATATGGGATGTCCTTTGGTCTTCCCTCTCGAGTCCATCATCGTTTCGTCCGAGGCGAGAATGATGGTTGCAACAACATCATCCGGTCCAAGTTAATCCTGATTGGGAAAACAGTGAGTTGTAGAATGGTGGAAGCGGTCAAGAACAATTGTGACGCGAGCGTATTACACATGGCCATGCCCCGACCAACAACCTGCAACATACCTGGACGTTGTTCCAGAAATCTGCCGTCTCGGGTGCATCGTAGACACGAACGCCATTAACAATCTTCCGATGGGCTCGTGTGACGAGTCCTTGAGCGTTGCGGGAATCGCTCAAGAGGGACTTCATGGCCTGGGTGTCGAGGGCACAGTAGTGCAAATGAGGGGCAGGTCGGGGGAATGAGGGGTGGGGGGAAGAGAATGAGGAGCAGGAAAGGAAGATGAGAGGCAAACATCGAGATTGAGGGGCAGGGAGGGAGAATGAGGGGTGGGCAAAGAGAATGAGGTGCAGGGAGGGAGAATGTGGGGTGGGGAAAGAGAATTGAGGGGCAGGGAGGGTGAATCTGGGGCGGGGAAAAAACAATTGAGGGGCAGGGAGGGAGAATGAGGGGTGGGGGAAAGGGAAAGAGGTGCAGAGAGGGAGGATGAGGCGCAAACACCGAGAATGAGGGGCAGGGAGGGGGAGTGAGGGGTGGGGGAGAGATTATGAGGTGCAGGGAGGGATGAAGAGGGGCAAACACGGAGAATGAAGAGCAGGGAGGGGGAGTGAGGGGTGGGGGAGAGATTATGAGGTGCAGGGAGGGATGAAGAGGGGCAAACACGGAGAATGAAGAGCAGGGAGGGGGAGTGAGGGGTGGGGGAGAGATTATGAGGTGCAGGGAGGGATGAAGAGGGGCAAACACGGAGAATGAAGAGCAGGGAGGGGGAGTGAGGGGTGGGGGAGAGATTATGAGGTGCAGGGAGGGATGAAGAGGGGCAAACACGGAGAATGAAGAGCAGGGAGGGGGAGTGAGGGGTGGGGGAGAGATTATGAGGTGCAGGGAGGGATGAAGAGGGGCAAACACGGAGAATGAAGAGCAGGGAGGGGGAGTGAGGGGTGGGGGAGAGATTATGAGGTGCAGGGAGGGATGAAGAGGGGCAAACACGGAGAATGAAGAGCAGGGAGGGGGAGTGAGGGGTGGGGGAGAGATTATGAGGTGCAGGGAGGGATGAAGAGGGGCAAACACGGAGAATGAAGAGCAGGGAGGGGGAGTGAGGGGTGGGGGAGAGATTATGAGGTGCAGGGAGGGATGAAGAGGGGCAAACACGGAGAATGAAGAGCAGGGAGGGGGAGTGAGGGGTGGGAGAAGGAAATGAGTCTCAAGGAGAGGAATGGATGGAGACTGAGGGGAGGAAATGCTGAAATGAATGAGCAGTTGGGTAACCAACAGCCCCAAGCGTCTGACGGCTGGAAAAAGTAATACCCATAGTCATAGAACAGACCCTAAAATGGAGAAATATCATATGAAACCGGGTTGAAGATAATGAATGGGGGAAAGGAAGCATGGCATCAGAATCTGAGTAGCTTTAAGTCCCATGAATATGAGGCAATGGGATTAACCTACGACTTACCTTGAGGCTGTCGCAGAAGTGATATTTCAGAAGCGCCTTCCCCGCGATTAGGCACTCGCCACTTTGCCATGACCGGTCCGTGTTGACAGCTTTTGTCACCACATATTTGTATAAGTCTCGAAGGCTCTTCCAGCCGCAAACCTTGCCAAATCGACCGCCGCCTTTGTTGAGAATTCGCAGCAACACCGCTACAGCCCGTTGAGACAACTTCTCGTTTAAAACCCATCGACATAGCTCATCTTCGAAGGAGAGCGGCGTTGGAGGACTAGGCTCCGCATCCTGTCCCGAGCGCGAAGGCCCCTCAGGCATCGCAGCACGTTCATGAGAAGGGGATGTCGGTTCCTCTGAGTCTGAGGTATCCTCGCACACGGGCCTATCATCGTCGATTGGAGCTCGAGGACTCATAGTTTCATCGAACGTTTGAGGTAAGAAAGGGTCCTCACGGGCCATAGGCTGAAAAGTGCTCGGAAGACGTGTGCCGTTCGCATCGTTCTCTGCACCATCGCTGGCGGGTCTGCACGCCGCATTGCTGGCTTGCGCCAGCCTGCATTGGTTGCTTCCGACGTGTCGTTCAAACCCTCCACTACGTCGAAATGGGCCTGAACCGCAAAAACTGCAATGACCCGGAGGTACGTGGTCCATGATTAAACTGTGCCGTTCCTACGACTACAACTGGAAAAAGTGGCTCTGGAATGAAACAAACTGAGTTCCTGTGATGTCTTGAAATGTAAAGTTGTATGATGTCTCTGATCTGGTGTTATTGATCTCATTGCTTCCAAGGCATTACTTCCACTGCACCAAACGAATCCACACTTCTGGAGTTAGGGCGGGTCCATCATGCACATATTTGCAGATAACCCTACCCAACCATCTGTTTAGAATATTAGTACGCTTTGTTTTTCTTTTCACCATTCTCTACCGCATTCGGATGTAAAATTTGGAGCCGCTCTTAGTGGGAAAATGCGCGCCTCGATTTCTAATCTGTTGAAATCATGGTTTGGAATTTGACGCGACCCGATGACAGTACAACTCGAATTTCGCCCCCTTTTTTCGATGGGCTGGCATTTCGTCGCGACCAACGGGAAGGCGTCGCTGGCTAGCGAGCCCCCTTGGCGAATTTGTCGGAGAGTCAAAACAAGTCATACACCACTCTGCGAAATCGAGTCACGACCTAGTCCAACATCCGACAACGCAATCAGCAGTACCGCAACTGGCGCGTCGCCAGTCACTTTTGGAACGGTCAGAAATGCCAATTCAACTGCCCGCACTTAAAACATTATTAAAAGCCAAGTCGCGAACGCAATCTAGCAATGAAAAACTTCATAGCCAGTACCACGAAAGATTACTGTTCCACCTCAGTGTGAACCTTAAACGGCCATATCCGAACACGAACCACTTGCCATGTACACAAATTCACAACGTTTAAAAAATTTCAGGACTTAACTGAAAGCGAAACGCATGACAAAATACAGAGTGAATTACAAAGCCCAACAGATACAGAATTTATCCCGTAACGGAGCAGCTAATATGAACCTGAACTTTCAGGAACACAACCGTTGAATCAACGCTACAGTACAAGAATCAGAGATACCTCCCCTACACCCAGGTCGTTTACGTGCTGCAGGCAGATTTGAGCCGAATTGTTACGCGCCGAGAAATTAGAACCGTCGATACGAGAGGATCTAACGTCCAACAACAAATCCTGAAATCACAGCCCCCAGGTCGTTTACGTGCTCCTCGCGACAATATCCCACGCAGTGCGGCGCGACAAACTTCATGAATCACATTCGCAATCCTGACCGTTGCACAAATCGCTTGGAATTTCGTCCGTCGATCAAATGTCTGCACATTCCACGAAGCAACCAAACACATTTTCTTGAGCACGGAATTGGCAGAACTGGGTTGAAATGCGTCGCAAAATTGCCAAGTTGCTCTCACAATCTGGCACAGCATGTAAACAACACTTTATGACACTCGGAAACCATCGGGAAAAACGCCTCAGTAGACTAGACCATTTACAGTAGGCTTAGGATTTTTGCGATGGCGTCACTTGCGGCGCCAGCTATGTTGGCATTCCGCGCGCGAAACCTGCGCCAGCTATGCTGGCGTTTCGCGCGCGGAACTTGCGCCAGCTATGCTGCGGCATCGCGCGCGGAACTTGCACCAACTATGCTGGCATTCCGCACGCGCGTCAGGCGCGCTCAGCAGATCAGCGCGTGCCAGCAAAAGGCGCGCAGCAAAGCGGCACACGCCTTCTTAGCGACGCCGCCAGCACATCGAGCGCCTGTGACGCTCGCGCACCAGCAAACAGCACGCGGTTCCAGACACACGCGCGCCAGAGAAATGCCATGAGTTTCCCCCCTGCGCCCTCCCTTCCCCCCAATCCCCTCCTACTTTCCCTTGTTTTCCCCTTTTGCTTCCCCTGCTTTTCCCCCCTTCATCCCCTCTTTTCCCCCCCTGCGTCCCTTCCTTTCTCCACATGCATCCACCCCTTTCCCCCCTTGTTTCCCCTCCTTTTCCCCCCTCCATCCCCTCATTCCCCCCCCGTGTTTCCCCTCCTTTCCCGCCCATGTTTCCCCTCCTCCTTTCCCCCCCGTGTTTCCCCTCCATTCCCCCTGGCCGCTCCTTTCCCCCCTTGCTTCCCCTCCTTTCCCCCCCTTGCATCATCCCCAAAATGTTTCTGACCCTAACGTGACCCACATTGCGGCCTGGCCCGTGCCTGTCCTGTAAATGCCCCCAGAGTTCCTTTGGGGTCAAATTAGGGTTAGTGGTCAGAATTGGGTCAGTATTGGGTCAATGAGTATTTGCCCTGTAACGTCGATCTGGCCCGAATGTGTCCCAAACCTGCCTACGCCTTGTTCCTTGACCACCCTGGTTCGATACTCGCCGTGTAGCAAAATCATAATTCATTTAGTAACTAGCCCCGTGTGAAGCTGACTTGCGCGGAAGGTCGGGGGATCGATGCTCGCTTGGTGTGTTTCAACGAGCACAAACAGGAAAATGCAACAAACAGTTCCGAAGAATTGAACACACGAGTTTCGAACTCGAAATCTTCCGAACAGATTGAGAATCACAAACCACTATGCCAGATTGCTCTGATTCACGCTGTGTTTTTTAAAATTTATAATTATTAAAGAAAAAAAACTGTAAACACCCAGAATTTATCCCCCAGCCTTTCCATTTAGAGACGAAACTCTTGACCACTGCAAAAACCACTTTCCCTCGTCGTGAGTTGACGTTTAATTTGATATAATAAAAACAATTCGAAATGATGTTTGTTATCATTCTCGCGCCACCAGTCGCCACCTGTCGCGCCACCTGCCACACAAATCACCTCATCGCATCAGGACGCGTCCCCCCTGGCTAGATCGTGCAAATATTGACCTTCGACCGTAACAAACCCTCGCGAATTGCACTTAAAACTTCTTGACATTTATTTTGACCATGTTGAAACCCGATCTTGCGTATGATCGACCACAGGATCGCCGTTCTGTTGACGTGCCCTCAACTAACCCTCCACAACCCCACATTTTCGACATTCCCCCTCCTAGTCCTCTCACTTCATCATTTTTTGTTTCACTTCTACGTGTTCCATGTTTTAAAACTCCGGTATACATTTGAAAGGAGGAGTTCAAAATCCTTAGGAACTTGAAAAGTTGCCCCAAAACTGTGGGGGACACTGTAAAACCCTGAACCTCGCTAACAAATGTATACTGGAGCTTTAATCTCGTGTTCCATGTTTTAATCTCGCTGTTATCTTTCCAGCTAGTAGCCAAGCCATGAGAATCTTCTAGGAGTCCTTATCCTACCGTACACCTGGTCCATATCGGTTCGCTCCCTAACCCGTAAACTTAGCCATTAATGAGTTGTTTCTACAGTCTCACCAGTTTCCGTGCCACCTGTGAGTTTTCTTCAATCTATACGCTTCTAATATACATTATTGTTTCCCGCTATTTACCTTCCTCTGGCAGAAAACGAGTGTCAACACGACATAAGGGTCTTCTGCGACAGAAGGATAGTCATTCATGGTGACGGTTGTGCGGATCTGATTTTGTTACCTAGATCTGTTATACTCTGTCTCTCCACCATTGCGATTTATCAAAGTCGTCTTTCCAGGCAGATTTGTTGTTCCGTTTTCCCTATACCTTTGTCGTCTTTCCTTTGCTTATTCGCAGAACGGAAAGTGTAGATAATGGAGGTACGAAGGTGATGTTTATTTTTATAAAGCTATTCCTAAATCTGTTAAACTATGTTCGCTTCTGCCATTGGCAATTTATCAATGTCGTCTATGTTAAACTGTATTATGCTTGTAGGCTGTAGTGGGGTAGCCAATATGGGGTACAACCCCAACTAGGGTTTCATATTTGTACCCAAGTTTCTGTTAGTTCATTCATTCTTGCCTAGTGATTCTGACATGGTATTCAGAGCAGGAGGTCCCTAGGACCTACCGACCGTTTTTTTAGGGCCCACCACCGCTCGCATGCGGTTACCACGCTACCCCGTGCCCTAGCCTCGTAGCGCCCTCGTGCGCCCTCGTTAGCGCCCTCGCGCGCCCCTCGTTAGCGCCCTCGCGCGCACCCTCGTTAGCGCCCTCGCGCGCCCCTTGCTAGCGCCCTCGCGCGCCTCTCACTAGCGCCCTCGCGCGCCCCTCGCCGAGCCGCCCGCTCGCTGCCCGCTTCGCGGCCCGCCCGCTTCGCAGCCCGCTCGCTCGCTGCCCGCTTCGCGGCCCGCCCGCTTCGCAGCCCGCTCGCTCGCTGCCCGCTTCGCGGCCCGCCCACTTCGCAGCCCGCTCGCCCCGCTGCCCGCTTCGCAGCCCGCCCGCCCGCCCGCTGCCCGCTTCGCGGCCCGCCCGCCTCGCAGCCCGCTCGCCCCGCTGCCCGCTTCGCAGCCCGCCCACTTCGCAGCCCGCCCGCCCGCTAGCTGCCCGCTTCGCGGCCCGCCCGTTTCGCTGCCCGCTCGCAGCGCCGCCCGCTCGCCCGCTACCTGCTTCGCAGCGCCGCCCGCTGCCTCACTGCCGCTTTCTCCTGTCCCCTCTGCTGCTGCCGCTGCTCTGCTGTGCCCTCACGCCTGAGCTATGGCCTCTATTCGCGTTCTTTCCTTCGATGCTGAGGGCCGTCCCGTGCAGTTCACTTCCTGGCTCGACGACCTGCAGTTGTATCTTATGAGCAATAGCACGGACCACATCTCCCTCTATGACTACGCGTCTGGTGCTGCCGCTGCTCCTGCTGCCACAGCCGAGCTTAGTGTCCGTTCCCACTGGCAGACTCGTGACGCAGCTGCTCGCCTAGCCATTCGCAGTCACCTCCCGCTAGCTGAGCTCGAACATTTTGGCGACTGCAAATCCGCTAAGGCCCTGTACGACGCTGTCGTCGCTCGCTACTCCTCGCCTGCCACAGCCGAGCTTAGCCGCCTCATGCTGCCGTACCTGTTCCCCGATCTGTCCACCTTTACTACAGTCGCCGATCTTATCACCCACCTTCGCACTAGTGATGCTCGCCTGCGTGCCGCCCTTCCCACCGAGTTCTGCGCTAAGAACCCCCCTCCACTGTACTGGACACTCCACTTCATAGTCACCCGTCTCCCTGACACCCTCCGCTCAGTTCGAGACCACTTCCTTGCTCGCTGTCCCACTGAGCTCACAGTCGCCCTCCTAGAGGAGCACCTGCTCGCGGCCGAAAAGAGCATTGTAGCTGTCGGTGCTGCTCGTGGCGCTCCTCGCACCCCCATCTTTGAGGGGTGTTCTCCCTCTCCCCTCGCTCCCTCCTACGCTGCTGCTGCTGCTGTTGACTTCCTTGGTGCTGAGTCTGTTGGCGCTGCTTCTACTCCTGGTGGGAGGCGCCGCACCGGCAAGGGCAAGGGGGGCAAAAGTGGTGGTGGTGGCGCTGGGGGGGGAGGAGGTGGGGGAGGTGGGGGGGGAGGCGGTGCTGGAGGGAGCGGTGGCGGGAGCGCTGGTGGGAGTGGGGTCGGTGGTGGAGGCGGGGGCGGCGGAGGAAGCAGTGGCAGTAGTGGCGGCGGCGGCGGTGGCGGCGGTGGCGGTGGTGGCGGTGGTGGCGGTGGCGGTCGGAGCGGTGGTAGTGGTGGCGGCGGAGGTCGGAGTGGAGGCACTGGCTCGGGCCAGAGCTCCCAGCAGCAGCAGCGTCCCCAGACGACCCAGCAGCTTCATGAGTGGCTTGCTCAGCGTGGGACGTCGGGGGCCAGTGCCCGCTGTTCTTATGTCATTCGCACAGGTGACCGCAAGGGACAGACGTGTGGGAGGTTCCACACCCCGTACCGCTGCTTCTCCCGCCTTGACGACGCTTGGCGTGAGGAGATGGGTGCGGATGTTGAGCGCCCCCGCTGGGCTGAGCTCATGAGGGCTGGTGTTGATGTCTTTGCTCTTGACTATGATGCTATTATTGCTGCCATGTATGCATTGACTGTTAGTGCCGAGGGAGACTGTTACTTGTGTGTGCCGCCTGACCCAGGTATAGAGCCCGCTGCCCTGGGTACTAGTGAGTCTGCTCTCTCTGGTATGGTGCCCCCTGTACTTGCTCCCCCCAGTGCTGTCCCGGCTGGTTTCGAGTCTGCTCTCTCAGGTACAGCACCCACACAGACTCCTCTCTCAGGTACCGCACCGGCTGAGGCCTGTCACACCTTCACCCTTGACTCAGGTGCTTCCCGTTGCTTCTTTCGTGACAGTACTGAGCTCACACCGCTTCCTGCACCGGTCCCAGTCTCCTTGGCTGACCCCTCTGGGGGCCCAGTCCTTGCCCAGTCCACCACTGTCCTCCCTTGTCCGGCGGTTCCGTCTGGCTCGTTGTCGGCTCCCCTCGTTCTCGACGAACCTGGTGAGCAACGCTGTCCTCCAGGATCAGTGGGTTGACACCTTTACCCCTGGCGGACAGCGTGTGGCGATCTGCACGTGCTCCAGGACCGGCCGTCACCTGGCTACGTTCACCCGTCGGCCGGGGTCGAGTCTCTACACACTGACCACTGCGTCTCCCCAGGTAGCTGCTGTCGGTCAGGTGTCTGCGTCAGGTCTGGTGGCCCACGCCTGTGAGTGTCGTTCCCTGTCGCACCAGACTCTTCTCTGGCACCACCGCCTGGGTCACCCCTCTTTGCCACGCCTTCGTGGCATGCACCGTCGCCTCCTTGTGTCCGGTCTTCCCAGGTCCCTCCCTCCCCTCCCTGCCTCGCCTGCGCCGCCTTGCCTTCCTTGCGTCGAGGGGCGGCAGCGCGCCGCTCCTCACTCCTCCTCGTTCCCCCCGACAGAGGCTCCTCTGGAGACCCTCCACCTGGACGTGTGGGGCCCAGCCCGCGTTCGTGGTCAGGGCGGTGAGCGGTACTTTTTGCTGGTTGTCGACGACTACTCGCGTTACACCACGGTCTTCCCCTTGCGCACCAAGGGTGAGGTCCCTGCTGTTCTGATCCCTTGGATCCGCACGGTTCGTCTCCAGCTCCGCCGCCGTTTCCGGACGGATCTTCCTGTCCTGCGTCTGCACTCTGACAGAGGTGGTGAGTTTTCCTCCGATCTCTTGAGGACCTTCTGTCAGGCGGAGGGCATCGAGCAGACCTTCACGCTTCCGGACTCCCCACAGCAGAATGGGGTTGCTGAGCGCCGCATTGGCCTGGTCATGGAGGTCGCTCGTACCTCCTTGGTCCACGCGGCGGCTTTCCATTTTCTGTGGCCGTTTGCTGTCCGGTACGCCGCGCATCAGCTCAACCTCTGGCCCCGTGTCTCCTTGCCGGAGACCTCGCCCACACTGCGTTGGACGGGGGAGGTTGGCGATGCGTCGCGCTTCCGGGTGTGGGGTGCTCGTGCCCTTGTCCGCGATACGTCTGCGGACAAGCTCTCCTCCCGCACGCTTCCCTGTGTCTTCCTTGGCTTTGTCCCTGACGCGCCTGGCTGGCAGTTTTACCACCCCACCTCGCGCCGGGTCTTCGCCTCTCAGGATGTCACCTTTGACGAGTCGGTCCCTTTTTACCGTCTCTTCCCCTACCGCACTGCCCCCCTCCCTCCCCCGCCGCTTTTCCTTGCTCCTGGTCCCCCTCCGGTAGACCCCCTTCCCCCTCAGGGTCCTGCTCCTTCAGGTGTCTCTCAGGTAGACCCTCCTCCCGTCGCTGAGCCTGTCGAGGTCACAGGTGACTCAGGTGCTGCTGCGGGTGGTGCTGCTGGGAGTGCTGAGCCTGGGGGTGCTGAGCCTGGGGGTGCTGGGCCTGGGGGTGCTGGGGCTGCAGGTGCTGGGACTGAGGGTGCTGGAGCTGAGGGTACGGTGCCTGAGAGTATGGAGCCTGGGGGTGCTGCGCCTGGGGGTGCTGAGCCTGCGGGTGCGGGGCCTGGGAGTGCTGGGACTGCGGGTGCTGGAGCTGAGGGTACTGTGCCTGAGAGTTTGCCGCCTGGGGGTGCTGCGACTGGGGGTGCTGAGCCTGCGGGTACTGAGCCTGCGGGTACTGAGCCTGGGGGTGCTGCTACTGAGCCTACGGAGCCTCGGGTTACTGCGTCTGGGGGTGCTCCGGTTCGGGGTGCTGAGCAGTCTCTCACACCGCAGCAGCTTCGCGACTGGTACGTCCGACGCTTTCGCCGTCCTAGTGGCTCGGCTGGAGTTTGGGGTGCTGGAGCTGCTCGTCCTGGGGGTGCTCGTACTGGGGGTACTGGAGCTGCCGGGACTGGCTGTTCTGGGAGCACTGTGACTGGAGCTGCTGGAGCTGGGGACTCTGGCGCTGGCGGTGCTAGCGGAGTTGGAGCTGCCGACTCTGGGGGTGGCGCTGCTGCTGGTGCTGCGGACCCACCTGGTGGAGCTGCTGCTGGTGCTGTGGACCCGGACGCTGGAGCTCCTACTGGTGCTGAGGACCCGGCCGCTGGAGTCCCGTCTGCTTCTGGAGACGCTGCGCGGCCGCGACCGTACTTCGTACCGCTCCTTCAGCAGGTTCTTGGGCAGGCTCCTCCTCCTTGTCTTCCTCCCTCCGTAGAGTGTCCTCCGCCTGTCCAGCCGCAGTCACAGTTACCGCCTGCCTCGCCTCTCCCTGCTCCCTCTCCTTATACTGGTCCCACAGGAGGTCTTACAGAGCGTCGTGAGCCTGAGTCTCGTCCTGCGTCGCCTGTTCGTCCTGCTCGCACTGGTAGTCGTGTCCGTCGTGAGCGTCCTCCTCCTGTCCCAGGCACTCACTACATGACTCTGCGTCCCTCTACTGCTCCTCGGCGTGTCCCTCTACCGTCTCCTCCTGCGTCCTCTTTGCCTGCCGTTCCGGACCCTGAGTCTGACCAGTATCGTGCTGAGCACCCTACAGTCACGCGTCTCCTTGCTACTGTTGTCACTGACCCCACCTTTGAGTCCTCGGCTGCGTCTGCTCTGGTCGCTGAGTTGGTTGACTTTGCTGCTGCCTGTCGTCTAGACTACGCTGCTAGCCTTGTCGCTGAGTCAGAGTCTGCGTCTGTCTGTCCTCCGTCCGTCGGGGGTGAGTGTGCTCTTGGTACGGACGTCCTTGAGGACAGGCAGGAGGACTTTGACTCTCTTGCGGCTGCTGTACCTCATCTCGTGGCCTGGTTGCTTGCCCCTGAGGGAGACCCGGATGCACTAGACATCCCCACTCCGCGCACTTACGCAGAGGCGATCTCGGGTCCCTACTCCTCTCAGTGGCAGACAGCCATGGACGCAGAGATGGCATCCTGGAAGTCCACAGGCACCTACGTCGACGAGGTTCCCCCTCCTGGGGCGAACATCGTCGATGGCATGTGGATTTTCAGGGTGAAGCGGCCGCCAGGTTCTCCGCCTGTCTTCAAGGCTCGTTACGTTGCTAGAGGCTTCAGTCAGCGTCAGGGGGTCGACTTCTTCCAGACCTTCTCCCCCACCCCGAAGATGACCACTCTTCGGGTTCTGCTGCACGTTGCTGCTCAGCGTGACTACGAGCTTCACTCTCTTGACTTCAGCACAGCGTTCCTACAGGGCAGCCTGCACGAGGAGATCTGGCTGCGCCGCCCACCTGGCTTTACTGGGTCGTTTCCCCCTGGTACCCAGTGGAGTCTCCGCCGGCCAGTCTACGGTCTCCGCCAGGCGCCTCGTGAGTGGCACGACACACTGAGGACTACTCTTGCGGCTCTTGGGTTCGCGCCGTCTACTGCTGACCCGTCGCTGTTTCTGCGCACAGACACGTCGCTGCCGCCGTTCTACATCCTCGTGTACGTCGACGACTTGGTCTTTGCTACTGCTGACACTGAGGCACTCGCTCGTGTGAAGTCGGAGCTGCAGAAGAGACACACCTGCACTGACCTGGGTGAACTGCGTAGCTACCTTGGCTTGCAGATCACCCGGGACAGAGCTCGCCGCACCATCACCCTGACTCAGTCACACATGGTGCAGCAGGTCCTTCAGCGCTTCGGCTTCCAGTTCTCCTCACCACAGGCCACACCTCTGGCTACCAGCCACTCACTCTCAGCTCCACCTTCGGACGAGTCCGTAGAGCCGAGTGGCCCGTACCCAGAGCTTGTAGGCTGCCTCATGTACCTGATGACTTGCACGCGACCTGACCTCGCGTACCCTCTTAGCATCCTTGCTCGTTACGTTGCGCCTGGGAGACACAGGCGAGAGCACTGGGAGGCTGCTAAGAGGGTGCTGCGTTACCTGTGCAGTACATCAGGCATGGGGCTGGTGCTTGGAGGACGCGACAGAGTTGTCCTCACTGGTCACTCGGACGCCTCTTGGGTGGACGACCTGGCTACGCAGCGGTCGTCACAGGGTTACACCTTCAGCCTTGGCTCAGGTTCTGTCTCGTGGCGGTCCACCCGCTCTTCCTCTGTTCTCGGCTCTAGTTGTGAGGCTGAGATCTACGCCACAGCCATGGCTGCACAGGAGTTACGCTGGCTCACCTACCTGCTGACTGACTTGGGAGAGCGGCCTAGTTCTCCTCCAGTTCTGTACGGTGACAACAAGGCGGCTCTTGCCTTGTGTCAGGAGCACAGACTGGAGCACAGGACGAAGCACATTGCTCTTCGCTACTTTCTTGCTCGAGAGCTTCAGCAGCGTGGTCAGCTTCGGCTTGTGTACGTGGACTCGAAGGCCAACACTGCTGATATCTTCACCAAGGCGCTCCCGCCTAGTGATCATCAGCGGCACTGTACTTCTTTAGGCCTTGTGTCCACGTTTCCTCACTTGCTCACTGCTTGACATTCTTTGTACTGTACTTTATATATATCTTGTTGCTTGCTTGCTAGGTTTTGATCACTGTGTTGCTTGTCTTGTACTATATCTAGCACTGCATGTGAACTGGCCTTGTGGCCTTTACTTGTGCTCGGAGTGTGGTGACGTTGTGATCCACCCTGGGCTTTGTTTTGCTTTGCTGGACTGGTCTTGTGACCCTTTGTTCTCCCCCACTTTGCCTATGGGGGTGTGTTAAACTGTATTATGCTTGTAGGCTGTAGTGGGGTAGCCAATATGGGGTACAACCCCAACTAGGGTTTCATATTTGTACCCAAGTTTCTGTTAGTTCATTCATT